CCCCCCCCCCCCCAGAAGCAGGTACAGCCAGGTGTGTGTTCCTTTGCGGGGCAGCGGTCAGCGCTCCGGCTCTCCTCCACCCGTCAGATAGTTTGCCCCCACTGTTTGTAATGCTTTAATTTTTAGAATTTTTAATGATGATTTGTTAACTTAATTGAAATGTGCTGGTAATCACAAAGATATGTATGGCGAAATTTGTTCCTCTCCAATAAATGCATGTGATGACTAATGCGGTGACCCGTTTTGTGTCTTCAGAATGTGTGAAAACAAGGCAAAAACATTTGGGTTTGAAGAGCTGAAGCGAAGGGTTCACACAGTTTTACAAATGTGAGGTTGGGGGTTTTATTCCCACAATCAATAAGAGGACAAACTGACTGTTATTTCTCCATTTGTCTCTTTCATATAAATGTTTAATTATTATTAATGAACTCTGTTTTTAATCACTGCTTTACACATAATCATTAACGCTTGGTACATGTTCGTTAACATTCTGTCGCCGGAAGAAACGTTAAACATTCACTAAAATCATTCCAATCAATCATTTCAGTGGAAGTGAATCATTTGTCGTATTTATGGAAATATTCTGTTTTCGTTCTTGATATAGGGCATGGGAGTTTGTCATGAAAAATACACCAAAGAAACACCGGCAGGTTCCCTCTTGGCCTTTAAAGAAAAGATAAGCTGCCCTCTCCCAGAAGATGTCACACATTTTATCATGAGACAAAGATAAAGACTGACAACGATGTGGGAAGGTGCGCATAAGAAGGATGACAGAGGGGTGGAAACCAGCCCCTCATGTGAGCCTCCTCATCCTCCACCTCATCACGAGGGAGGAGGAGGAGGCCTTCCCGGGGCGAGGGTGTGGAGGGCAGGGTGGGAACTCTGCTCTGATGTGTTTCTGTTAGAATTCCACAGGGCACTAATCCACTCCACCCATTAATGCTTTGATTCTGCCTGGGGGGCGGCTTTAAAGAACAATCTCAATGTGATGTTGAGTACGCAGAAATACTGATGGCCCAGATGTCTTTCTGGGAATTTCTCCGGAGGTCCTCGGTTACAGCGTTTCCTCATTGAACCACATTTACTATCACTATCGTATAAGTGGGATCACCGATATTTACCATACTGTTTGTTTACTGTTGTTTTACTTTAGATAGAGTGAATCCACGTGGTTTCGTCACATGGACATCACATCTTGTGTCTTTCTGTGACATTAACAGGGTGCACCTGAACATTCTCTAGCCTTAACACAAATAGTTTTTCATCATTTTCTATTTTATTTTTGGAGAAGGTGGTATAACCTTATCATAGAAATCAGTTATAAGTACTTTGAAATGGCCTTACAGTGAAGTGTTTCAGGTTGTTTGCAGAGGACTGTAGTTTGAATCGTCTTGTTTCCAGTCAGAATCCTGTTTTCGAGGCAAATATTTCCTCATGTTGTTTTTCCTAACCCATCTCATGACCAATCTGTTTTCACAATATTAAGAAGTTGTCCACCTCAGGGCAAACAGCTGAGTCCACCAGGGGGAAGTTCTATTTTTTATGCCACAATTCCAAAAGCATTCAATTTCCTTAAGGTAAGAAGAATCTGGTAACTTTCCTCTGGAAGAAGCCACGGTGGACCGGGATTAATAAAGTTATGTGTTTTCATATAAAAGTCACCGACTGCCACTAAAAGAGTCAAAAGTCTTTATAACTATTCAGCAACCTTTTCAGGACAATACCGAGACACAAGTCCCACTAAAGCTTCAAATGAGATGAATTTCAGTCTTACACATTCAGTATGGAAGGAGACAGGCGACAGAGAAAGCCTAGGCCCAGAACATCCTGTTGAAAGGCTGAAATAGACAAAACATCAACCAGAAAGGTTACTTTTCTTTAATCTGCTTCAATTAAAACGAGGGTTTACAACAAATAAGATGCAGGATTGAACAATATACCTTTCTAAATATTTGAAATAACGGAGAAGCAAAGAATTTTGCAAAGAAAAGAAAAAAATACATTTGAAAGATGGTAAATAGATCTATGGAAACAACTGTCGCAGATCACACTGTAGAGATTTCTTCAATAGATTTCTGCAAACTGAGAAGCCCCCATAAACAGTGTTTTCATCGCTGCCTTTTAAATGAACTCTGGGCTTTGGCAGAGCTCAGGTGTTTCAGAGGTTCGTTCCTCTCCTTTTGGCTCGGGGACAGCGGTAAGTAATTGAAATGCTTCATCGAGCGGCCCTTTCCTTGGGCTTAGCCGTGCCTCAGGAATGTGCTGGCAGGCTAGTGGAACAGTGGGGATTTATTTGTGGTGTCAGCCCATATCTGCCCTGTTGATTCGCAGACCAGTGGACTGAAACAAACACAGGAGCGGGGGCCGGCGGGACCGTCGCGTCGGGCCTGGGACCGTGAGATGGGGGCCGTGCCCACGGAGCTGCACAGGACTCCGAGTGTCCCCTCTAACCGTAACGCTGCAGCTCCAAAACAGTTAAACAAGCTTTGCATTAGGACAGGAAACAAAGGTAAGAGAGCACGCCAAGCCAGTTGTTCTAAAGTTTGTTTGAACTCTCAGTTTGACTTGATTCACACCTTCTTCTGACCTAAGAACCCACCTCACTGGTTGGTGACCCCATAACCAGCTCCAGTACAGTACCCGTCACTCCTCCAGAACACTAATCTTTAACACAATGGCCTCTACACAGCCTCAAATCTGCAAAAGGCTTTGAACAGGGTAAATATCGTGAGCGCTGTGCGGATCGTGTCCTCACGCGTCCTCAGACCTGTGCTAGGCCCACAGGATCTTGACGGAACAGTACGAGTTTTAAAGGGAACAACCCAAGTTCAGAGTACAGAGACTGGCATGTTTCAGTGAACACATCTGCAAAAGTTTTTTTATTTTAGAAAAATTGGTGTCCTATCTACGTTTAGGAAAAGTGAGAGGTTTTCTCTCCTGATGGGACCTTATGTTGGAGGAGGAAACCCATATTTTTAAGACCTTGTTTTCAAAATGTTAAGGTTTGGGCTCATTGTTCTTATTTTCATTCACTAAAACTCATGCTACATATTTGTTGTTGTTGTTATTTTGTTTTTTTTTGGGGGGGACAAAGTTTCCTGCAGCTTTTTGAAGCCGTTTCTGTGAGTTCCTCAGTAAGGCTCCCACACTGCTGCTCTGCAATGCTTTGACGGCCAAAAGGGCAGAGAAGGTGTCCACTGAAGTCCCACAAGTAGTGGCTGGACTGTGGTTTCCCCATCAGCGTGCTGAGGAGGGGAGGTTAAACGGGGGAGACCGAGGAGAGGACAGCGGCGAGCGCCCTCCTCCCCTTCTCACATGACCGCAGCGGAGGAGGAGTGCTGGGATAGAGAGGGAGCAATGGGAAGCAAGATGAAGGACATTTCTCTGAGCCCGCGGCACAGATCACATCCAGGAGCGCAGCTTTACTGTGAGGTCGTCCTTTTCTCTGGGGTAAAATGAAACTTTATATCCATATTTTCACTTTTGAACGATTTGCATAAAGTTAATTTTATAATATATCTCATTATTTATATTATGTAATGCTTTAAGTCCGATTTACATTCAGATAACTTTAAGAACACACCAAAGAAAAAATAATTCATTTTATATCAGTAGCATAACGGTCCTAAAATATCAAAAGTGGAATAATTCTGTCCATTATGGATTATTTTAACATGGTGCTTATTTTTTATGCTGGTTTGTCACATTTTAATGAAAGTATCACACTATGGGAGAAGAGGGGTGGATATCCTCACAAAGACACCAAGAACATGGAAAAGTTAACGCTGGTATTGGTATGGACATCTGCTGATTAAAAAAAAACATCTGGACTCTGGGCTCAACAGGTGCGACAGCGAATGTCTGACAAAAAGCTGATTTCTGGATAGTCTGCAGCAGATTTGTCATCGCAGTGACTCTGCTTTGTGAGCAGTGAACAAACAGCTGATGCAAAATCACAATCGTCCCAAAAACAGCAGCGTTCTATCAAAGCTGAGAGTTTGTGGACAAAGTTTTTTCACCATTATTCTTGTTTTTGTGATTGAAACCTCTGATGATAAATAAATACATTAAATTGATGAGAATTTCCCCCATGAGGTGCTGGGAGTTTATTTTTTTCTACTGACAGCTTTAGGCATAATCTTAAAGACAATAATGGTTGTTTTAGTTTTGGAGTCATGTGATCATAGCTTTACGTTGGTTCCTCAGGCAAAGCTTGTTTCAGCTCTTTCAAAGATGATGGCAGAGTGAAGCAGTTTCTCATCTGCTGCTCCTGATCTACTGGACTCGTTGGATGTCTCTAACATCTGGGGATTTTTTGGGATCTTTCAACTGTTCAACATAACTTTTGTACTCGGTGCGCCAGTTGAACTAATCGAATTAATCTGCTTGTTTTTGTTGCAACCGCCACTGGAAAGTGTTACTCCCCCAAAAATGGATGAATGCCACTGAGGCGTTACATTATGTTAGCAGTGATGTTACAGAACCAAAAGAATCCAGTGACACGGTGTCCCAAACCATCACAAGACCACATCAGCTGGAATCAGGAATTCAGGGTTGAGATCTTTGTTGAGCATTCTCTATTCATGAGTTTGTCTTGAACATATGAAAAATGTGGAGGAAATTTTTGATGAAGACAGTCTCCCAATGGCTCGTTGGCCCCTTTTGGGCCTTGCACCATTTTTTTAGAATAACACTGATAGGGGAAAGAAAACATTTTCATTTGCAATTTTGTTGTTTTTGTTCTCTAAGTGGCTTTTGTTCCTTCATTTTTTGCACATCTTACCTTCTGTCTTGAGTGAATATCTGTAGGAGTTTTTTTCCGACTCGGCCCACATGTTGATGACTGAAAGCCCTGCCAGTGTGCACACCTAGAAGCTATTTAGTTGCATATTAATGGAAATATCTGGGCCTACTCTGTTTTTGTTTATGCCACAGAACGTGGCCTGTTGTGCTCCTTTGGTGAAAACCAAAGCTAACGTCCCAGCAGAATTTCTAACTTGGCTTTTCTCTCAGTTTTAGGAATGAGGGTGTCACACTGGTGCATGCTGGGATTGACCATACTGCTGCTGTTGTGTGAAATCGCCATCAGTCAGCTGTGTAAGTCGCTAATCGTCATGGTGGACGGCTTCCACACGCTCCTTGTCCTCATGCACATGGCTCTTCCTCCTCCCCAGAAGGCAACTGTCAAACCTCCGTTCTCCTCTCTATGTTCTCCCGCCTCTGCTCCGCATTCTTTACCCTCCGTGGCAGCATTCATGCCCGAGTCGCCAGTCAAAGGTGGACCCGACTCCCAGGTGGATCAGCCCGTCGACACGCACACGCCCTGGTCCCCGGCGGCCTCTCTAAAAAGGCCAAACTGCGGCCTGTCGTTTAGCGACAGCAGGATCCCCGTGGTGGGCGTTTTCATTTCCGCCCTCCTCCTGGCCTCTCTCTGCGTCTCTTACTTCTTGGAAATCGTCAGCTTTATTCTGGAGCCCCACCCGGTGAAGCACCCGCTGCTGCCGGTGGTGGTGGGCGCCGTCAGCCTGCTCCTTAAGGCGCTCGTGTTGGGGCTGAACCGGGATCGGCTGCAGGACGGCCGCTGGCAGAAAGGGTGGGAACCGCACCTTGAAGTGAACCATGAAGGTAATGCAAGTGCAAAAATAAAGGGAAACATTTAAAAAACGTTGGTAATGAGAGCACTGTTGCTCCTGTTTGTCAGATAAACATGACATCCAGACACAGGGACAATTTAAGTCTCATCCACTACCCAGTTCAACTCTTAAGACACAGACTGACACAGCCGAAAAGACTAAAGCAGAACTACAAAGAAGCAAATTTCCAAAGTTAATCGAAAAACCACATCATAGTTGGGCTATGATAACCGTTTACAAAAGAAAAATAGTGTCTGTTCAGGTGATATCAAAGCTGCTCGGTGTATATTCAGCTGTGAGATGTTCAGATCAGGCCGCCTGTGCTTGTTTTTCATTCCTCTCTCTGACTCCCACAGTTCTGGCCGAAGAGGATTCCAGAGGTCGGACGGAGTGTGAAGACACTGGCCAATCAGAAGGACTGTCCGTTGCGTGTGACCCCCCCCATGTCGGGGCTCTCGTCCTCCGTAATCCAGGTGCTTCCAGCGTGCCGGACGCTGACTCGGAAATTCTGCAAAAACTGGCCGAGGTTCTCTGTGAGGGAGAGAGCGGTGCTGCAGATTTCAAGTGTGAGTCGATCAAAGGGAGCCTCAACGGGCCTTAAGTGTTCCGGTGCGGGTCAGCCTGGAGTCCAGACACTCTCATATACAGATCAAATGTAAAAACCTGTTTGTTTGTGTTTTGTTTTCTCAGTGGCGGGCAGTAAAAACCATCAGATAACATTGTCTGAGCCCTCTGCCTGCGAGTCATCCCGCCCGCCCGAGACCCCGGCCCAGAGCAGCCAGTGGTCCAGCTGCCTGCTGTCCTTTGCCCTCTTTGTTCAGGGGGTCTTCACCGCCTTCCTTGCACTGACCAACGGCCTGGCCACGCTGCTGATGGCCCCCCAGCTCCCGCACGGCTCTGCGGCCCGCGGCGTCCTGGTGTATCTGGATCCCGCTCTTTCCCTGCTGGCCGTGTTGACCCTGATTGCCACAGCCATGCCACAGGTCGGCCTCTAAAACACATACCGGCTCAGGTTGTTTTGGAAAGCTGGCCGTGTGTGTTTGCGGCTGCGGACGCACTGTTAAGTGACCGCTGGTTCTGGGCCAACTCTCTGCAGGTGTACAGGTACGGGCTGCTGCTGCTTCAGGCCTCACCCGCACACATCTGCGCCACCGATGTCGGACGGAGGATTGCGAGCGTGCCGGGAGTCCAGGCCGTGCACGACCTCCACATCTGGCACCTGACTGACTCCCTTGTGGTGGCCTCTGTCCACGTGCACTGCTACGCTGAGCTTCCAGTACACAGGTGAAGTTTGCCTCTGCGCCGATGCCCGACCATTTTTTTTACAAGGCATTTCATCTGCTTCTAATATTTAGCCTTAAAGATTTAAAACGCAACTTGCCCAGTTTCTCATGCTCATTCTCAGATATCATCATATGATCTTCTTCCACACTGCTGCTTGTTTCAAGGCATTCTAGGGACATGATTAGTTACCACTATAAGACTAAGATGCTTTGTTGTGGCGACATACTGGCGTCAACTTCCTTGTTTTGTAAAGATTTTGTATAATGAGACTAACGGACTAATGGACCTTATGTTTAATTTCTTGGTATACATTAACTTTAGCAACAGCAGATTATTAATCCATTGATTAAAAACACTTGATTCTAATTCAGGAGTTTTGGGACAGGCTGAAACTTCAAGGTTCTCTTTTGAGTTTCACATTTTATTCCCTTCCATAAAAGCAGGTCAGAGGTCCTTGCTGGAAATGCATCAGTTTGTCATAGAGTAAACACATCATGCGTTTTTTTGTTGTCTAGGATCAAGTTTTCTGTCTTATTAACTCATGATATTTTGAATCCGTCCAGGTGTGCTGATGTGATGTCGGGTGTCACCAAAGTGCTGCAGAACGTGGGAGTGAGCTGCTGTACCGTTCAGCCAGAGTTCTCTTCCTCCTGTGGGCCTTCCTCTGACGGAGGAGAGGACGGCTCCCCTGTCATCCACAGACAGGATCCCTGCATGCCGCCTCTACCCACCTGCAGCCTGGCTTGTGGGAAGGCCTGCGCTGGGAGCATGTGCTGCTCTCCTCCAGAGGACGACTCCCAGAGGCCGCCGACACCACCAGCTGGAGAGACAAGGGAAGAGCCTCAGACTCTGGTCATCCAGAACACCTTCCTCTAGCTGTCAGTCCCAACCAAAACTCAGCGTCCCGGTGTGAAGGTGAAGCCAAAACCGATCTAGATGATGTCTTGTGAAACATTGTTAGAGATTGCTGTGTTAGTTTTGTTACTGTAACAGGTGCTACTCCAAAGGTTTTTATGTTGTATCATGTGAAACTCTGTGAAAGGCTGTGTGTGTGCTGTTCTTTTGTAATTGGTTATGTATTTACATGGAAATTAAACGATTAACAACCACTTTGTTTTTTCCTTTTTTTTATCTTACCAAAAACATGTGGCAGAGCGATACTGAACAACCATTATACGGTTACCCCACATGACTTTGTTTCACCAGATCAAATTAGTCCTGCACGTAAAAAATGCATGTATTAACATACAAATGTGATCATTATTTCAAAAATGAATTCCACATGTAGATATAGTAAATATGTATTATAGTGTAATGTGGTGAGAGTCAATTGTGAGAGCATTTTAAATGCTTATTAATGTTCATACCACATTCTCAGAAGAGTTGTAGATTTGGTTGTTTTAGAAACATAAGACCCAAAGAATTGTTTTTAGTTTCAGTTGACCAACTAATTTTGTTAGCAACATCAGAAAAACAGAATAAGTTTAGATAAAGGCATTGTTATGATTGAGTTTGATCGCACAATTGAATGTTTTTAAATCAGAACTGCCCAAATTTGTAATCCATGAAACTGCGTACTTTCGTAATGCATAGAACTATAATTCAGACACATATGAAACCATCCAGATCATGGATGATGGTTCACTCATACACAGAAAAATGCTGGCTTTCTCAGCTTTTACTGATAACAACCAGGTTGGTGTTTGTCAGCTTTGGTTTTTATAACCAAATATCAGCTCATTTCTTAAAGTAGCTGCGGCGCCGACTCATTTAATCACAGAACACTTGTCCAATTAGTATTCCTGTCCAGGTGGATATTTCTACTGCAATCATATACGATAAACATAAGCTTAAAGTAAGCTAGGGAAAAATAGTTGGGACTAGGACAGAGTAGACGGTCTGTTTTTGTGTTACCTGTGAGAAACTGTTGTGGCTCCACCTTCATGTTCAGCAACAGCCAATCGGATCACACCTGCTTTTGATAAGACCGACCACAATCCAAAAAACATCAAATTCTATGTCTATATAACAAACACGGGACATATCTTATACGACAAAAGGTTTGACATTTTTAAAAGGATGTGTTTCCCCTAAAAAACCAATGTGACAAATAGTCAACTTTGCACCATTACTTAGACGTAGGTTGATGCATTGGACTATTAATACGCACCAGATCACAAGTTACAAGTGCCCGGATGAGCTTCGGTGGTCCGGGGTGCGGGCTTCAAACCCGTAGCTGCCTAGCGGCAGAGTGGTTCGATTCCACCTTTCGGGCGGTGAACGTTTGTTCTCTGCTCGACAGATATTATACGGTGGCATTACTTTATCAATTTAGCATTCCTTTGTTCAAACTGACAATGTTGTAAGCCAACTTCCTGTCCGGCGCCTTTATTTACACGTCACATTGAAAGTCTCACATTTGCACCAGTGTGAATTGATAAACAGCTACGTTTGCTGGTATTATATTATTTTTCTTAGATAATATGTCATTGAGTAAATAATTAATTTCATGAATAATCAGTCAACGTTGGTCCAAAAGTAAAAAAGAAAAAGTGGTAAATAAGAAAAATGTTGTACATATCTAAAATGCGTTACAGGCTACTCTTGTTTCGAAGGGAAGATATAAAACATAAAAATACAGTTATATATCTTCCCCATAATAAGCTAATACTTTTTCCATGTCTTGGAAAGTACATCCGGCTTGCCCTGGAACACAAATGATTCACAGCCATTCTGAACAAACCATTTCTGAGCACTTCCTGTCTGTCATCCAATCACATTTCATGCGGAAGTTGTTCTGCGTAGAAGGGGCTGCATGATGTCCTTGCCTGCTTGATTTTGGGCTAACGTGGATTAAAAGTTCTCCCTTTCTGGTGGAGGCTCCTGTTTTCTTGTTATTTGGTAAGGTATCTCGTATGTTAAGTTTGAGACTTCTAAAAAAAGGTTTTACTTTACAGCCGTTTTTGCATCTGCGGGCGTCAATCTAACGATTGATATTATGAAACGTTGGATTGGTTGGCCTGTGTCAGTAAATACCTCTGAATTAAAGCGTAAAATAAAAACGGGAAAAACTGTACTGTCAGTGACAGTTCTTGACAATAGTGTAGTAAAATATTATTTAATTTTCTCTATTAAAGAGTTTGTTTATTATTTGTCTTGGGTGTTGCTCATCACATCATGATTGAAAAAGCACGTGTTTCTTATGTTTGTTTAGGTCTTAAGTATTTATACTATAGGATTCGTGTTCATATCATATTTCTACATTTCTTCTTGTGGAAGAGCTTGCTCTTGTGAAAATTATAGCTATATAATATTTAGGTATGGATTTTTCTTGTCTACTGCTTACAGTAAATTATGTTATTTCAATTTCTCTCTTCATTTTACCACATTAGGCAAGAAAAACGAGAAAAAGAAGTTCATTATGCCTCTCCATAAATACCCGCCCAAAATTTGGGAAGCCCTGAAACTGAAGCAGGGCATCTACGCCCGCCTCCCTAAACATTACCTCAAGTCCCTGGAGCTCAAGGAGCCCACACCTGTTCACTGGAGGGCCCTGGGCGTACAGTACCGAGCCAACCCGAAGACGGGGTTGAAGGAGCGGGTCCAGGACATCCCCATCCCCGTTTACTACCCTCCACATTCCCAAGATGGCCTGTGGGGTGGCGAGGGCTGGGTTTCTGGCTTCAGATATGCAAACAATGACAAAGTGAGTCTTCTGAAATATGATTTTCAGTCTTTGCAATATTGTTGTCTACTATGTTACCTTTCAATGTAGATATTTGATTTTTAAGTTAGTGCGAAACCTTTGTTTAAAGGCCTGGTACAGTTAAAGCTCACGTTGTAGGTATCCATTTTGTTCTTGCATGGTTGATGACACTCACCTTTAATATTGTGTCTTGTTAAGATGTCCAATCGAGTGAAGAAAACATGGAAACCACAGCTCCTCAAAAGAGATCTCTACAGTGAAATCCTGGATCACAAGTTCTCCATCACAGTCACGGGTCGCACTCTGGACCTCATTGATGCCGCCTTTGGCTTTGATTTTTATATCCTGAAAGTATGTAAAAAACTGTGCTGCTGCCGACAAATGACTTTTCCGATTGAGCTGTCCGTGTGCCTTTAATAACTTTACTGCTTTTAGACACCGAAAGAGGACCTGAACTCCAAACTGGGGATGGACCTGAAGAGGGCCATGCTTCTCCGCCTGGCACGCAAAGACAAAGAGCTGTACCCCGACGATCCCGTCAAAAGGGAAAGGGTCTACGGCAAATACAAGGCAGGTCATCATTCCGAGGATTTGAAAGGGGCTGGAAGCTCGAGGATGATTCTCAGAGCTGTTTGCTTGCTATTGCTGTCTGAGGAGTTCAAATGAATTGATATTTGTGTCCTTTTGTTCCTTTTCCCTGAGCAGCAGTTTGAAATTCCAGAGGAGGAAGCAGAGTGGGTGGGTCTGAGTCTGGAGGAGGCCATGGAGAAACAGAGGCAGCTGGAGCACAAGGTAACAAGCCCTTCTTGGACTTTCTGCCGTGGTGACGGTTCCCTAACTTTCAGTATTACTTACCTGGTAATTGATAATTATATGTTATTACAAAGTAGCTACTACCACGTTACACTTAAGCCTTCAAATATGCATAATACAGTAGAAGCAATATGTTGCTGGGTGATGAAACTTCTTTCTATGGACTTCGTTAGAGAGCAGACATAGCCACGCTGAGGAAAGATGTCCACATAGAAGTTGAATTCCTTTTCATAAAAGTGCTGATAAGCTGACCAGATATTCTAGTTACGATGGCATAAACACCTGCAGGACTCTCAGAAGCATCAAAAGTAACTGTGTGGATATAGATATTCTCTCTGAAGGTTTATCTTGTTTTTTAAGTTTCATTATGTTTTTCTTTAAGGAATTCCCTCAGCAGCACTCAAACCACTCAAAAAATAAATGTTTCCGGTCTTTGGGATTTCTGTCCTGGTCACTGGTATCGAACCAGAGATGAGATCTTTGCCGTGTTGAACAGCTCTGTGACTGTTCTGTTTTGATTTTGATTCTCAGGAGCCCGAGCCTCATTTTAAGGTCTGTGTGGACAAGCTGGTGCAGGAACTCCAGATGAAGAAACTGATGGAGCCACTTATAATAGAGAAGTGATGGGCTGCCCGGGACAGAGGCTAAAAAATAACGTAGGTGGGAGTCAGGTCGTCCGTGTTTCAGAGATTAATTCACACCCTGGATTTTTTTTTTTTAACTCTACATTTGTTTCCATCTGGGAGCAACACAAAGGGGGAGGTGACGCAAATAACAGTAATGTTGGACTTATTTATTGCTGTCATCTATCATTTCAAACTGCATTGAAGACGTGTGTGATATATGATGTTTGTACAGGCTACCGAAGAAAATTAAAGGTCCCCTTTTCCCCCCCAAGAATACGATTTTGTTGGTCACATTTCTCATTAAAACTTAATATGGTCATTACATATAAAAGTCACTCATAAATTAAATGAGTTTAAGAACTTGACCGTGCTTACAGGCAAGACCACCAGGACCTTTAATACTCACTAACACACTTATAATGCCGGCTTTGTGGATGTTATACTTATGACGCTCTCTAGATGGAGCCAAATGGTTTCAAATCAGTAAAATCCTATTTTTTGATACCTTGTTTGTATTGAGGTAATAAGTTTGAATAACTGTAGTTTGATTTCTCCCATTCATACTTTAAAAAGTGTAAGTAAAAGTCAAATTAAGCTGTTTCTATTAGTGTGTATGTTTGAAACAAAGCTCTGTATCAGCATAAAAAGCTGAATATGTGTGTGAATGTTTGAATTAATGAATTAATTATCTTTTATCAGTCAACAAGACTTGGAAATGTGCTGTTTAATTACAGTATACTTACAGTGAAACTACAGAACCAAAGATTTGTTAAGGAAACTTGTGTAATATATCAAGTGAATCTCTAAGAGAAACACATGAAACCAAATAACCCGCATGTCTGCAAACTGAATTTGAATAAGCCAAAGCTCCACAGTCACTGAAAACACTGGATATGTCGCTCAGAGTTTCCCTCTTAGAAATGAAGGGTAATCAGAAGTGTTTCATAACTATGACAAACTCCCTTTCTGCCCATAATAGTAGCTTATAAGGCAAATGTCCTTATAAGGAGGAAAGTCAACAAATGGGGGGTAAAGAAGGCAACAAACCACAGCTATAAAAACAACTGGTTTCACTTTCAGGTGTTTAGGGTTCGTTGGTGTTGTCTCATTGCGGTTGCAGCTTCTTCCTGTGCTAAAATGGTGAGTCCCTCCTGATTTGGGGACTCCCGTGGGTGTTGTAACTAGGCAACCGAGAGCAAACTGACACCTGGGAGCTAAGCTCAAAGCTTCCTTCCTTATATAGATTCAACCACTACATGGAATTACCCTCTTCATGATGCGCATGTAAAGCGAGTAAATAAGCTCTGTGCATATTTGGATACCTTTTCCCCCTTTTATTTGTTTTGTTGAGCTCACATGACCAATTTTTGGGGTGGTTTTCGGGTTGATTGATACTCCAGTCAAACTGTTGTTTAAACCAATTAAATCTGCAACTTGAAAAAGATCAAACTGTCCTACCGCCACTTGTGTGTGATCAGAGGAATGGGAAGCTGCCTTTAACTTAAACTGACTTTTCTGAGATATGCTAATAGTAGTCGAGGCCGAAACCAAAACTTCTAAATGGATCTATTTATAATTTAAAGTATTTGTACTCTTCCATTAGACATCACTAATCCCTCTGCTCTTCATTGCCCAGTCTCTGCAAATCAACTAACCCCCCTTCAGTTAAAAGCAGTTTTAAAATTTGAATCGGACTCCCATCAATAGTCTGCTTTTGGGTTTGTTTGTTTTTTTTACATATAATTACATTTAGGAAGATTTGCCCCTGCAGATCAATGTTTGTTATACTTAATAAAACAGGGATAGAGCATCTGGATGCATCTCAGAACAAAGTCTATAGATCTTTGATACATCTTCCAACATTTTAAGATATTTTAAAACAAAATGTTGTTTTAATTTCTCTGTTGCATTACATTAAAAACAGAGATTGGCTCGCCAACCTTTCCAGCACAAACTCCCTAAAAAAAGGAGATGATGCACACTAAACTACTGTAAATTGCCATATATTTTCTTTGGATTCATCTCATAAAAAAGATAATCTTGTATGTGGGTAGTGGGTACAGTTATATATTCCTGTCAAGCTAATGAGCTGTATTACCTCATGGAGGATGATCTGTCTTACCACTGGTGGCGTGGGCATGACCGGGCAGGCCGCTGCAGGTGGGTATGCAGCCACCATTTTACAGGAAGCAATGTCCCTCTGTGTCTGTAGCAGATCAAAGGTCTCAGAAACGAGCCCGGTCTGGAGTTTCCCTGCTGCTGCGGGCTCTGTGTACATTTCAGCTCAACCGGGACAGGTGCTTAAAGCTAACGCCGGCTTTTCCTACACATGAGATGCTAAATAAAGCAGTCACTACGGCCTGTGGTACAGCTGTGTTTACTGCTGGTGAGAGATGGACAGGTCATCATATACATAGTTTATTCACTATAAACACCATGAAATACGTGGTTTCAGCCGCAGTACTGGACATTACACACAGACAAACGCCTGCATTGATGATTATAAGTATTCATTAGCTGAGTAATAACAGATTTTGTCACCATACCTACCATGTGTAATGAATACGATATGATTTATGAAAATGCCCGTGTGTTTGCTCGGTTGCAAATTTGAGGCACAACCTCTCGTATTTTCAAATGAAGAAATAATAGAAATTACTAAATGTATTTGCCAATATGTCTCAATGTTTTACTTTCCCCATAGCTAAGAAGTTTGGAAAAGAAAACTGAGTGACTCAGCAGAGGGCTGTAAGCTTACCAGAAATGCAGAAATGCTTTTTTCTCACAATTGATTTTGTTGCTAGTGTAAGTGTAAAGAATGAACTGGAAGGTTTATGATGACTGTAAACAAGGGAAATATCTCTGAGACAAAAAAGCCATTCAGGATCATCTTACAACTCTAATGACAGTAAAAACTGAGACGTGAAAAAAAAAACAAGTGGGGATCTTCTCACAACTGCCAAGATTCATTGTTTTTGAGTGAGAAAGCAGGTTTGGAATGTGTGTGGGCAGCAGCTGGAGACGGATCGCATTATGAAACGCAAACAGCCGTTTTTTAAACTCACCCCGTTTCTTTGTCAGGTACAAAGCAAGTAATCACACAAGGGGAAATTAAACATTGACATTTTATTTGGTTCTGACTTATTCATACTATCCTAAAGACACAGGTGGATGAGTGATGAAGTAGTGAGAAGTAATTTGAAAGCTAAGCACAAGAGAGGAAAAAATGAACCAACACAACCAGAGGTATGAATAGGAGGAGTTTTTTAATGACCGTATATGTGGGAGGGTTAAATATTAAACAATTGTGACAGCCTCATAAAGAGAGTCTAAGAGGACGATTACTGACAACCATTTCATGACCTGTTCATGTACTATTGTTGTTTTAAAAAACTATGATAGGTCCTCCTGTAACTTCAGTCGGAAATTGGGTCTTTTTTCACATAAAGCAAAGCAGAAGGATGTTTTAAAAACAACTTTGCCTCGCCACTGATAGGCTACGACATACAGTGATTTATTGAAATCTTAAATGATGGTGGGTTTGCTTTTAGCTTCACCCTCACTCTAAGTCTTAAATTAATGCTCTCAGCATTTCCATCACAGGTATAAGGAATGTTGCATTCTAGCCTCGACCAGCAAGGCTTTCGGGCAGAGTTAAGACATAGAGATAATAAGAAGCGAACAATGTCAATTTGTCAAACTACAATAATCTACAAATATATTACCCAGCTGGAGCAGGGATGTTTTCGTTCTTCGAACTTTGCGACCATGCAAAAGGTGCTTATTTGCTACTTCCCATGCAAATGTTGATACCGATTTGATATCCAGATGGTTAATAAGAAGCTGAATCCTGGCCTCATAGCTCCTCCTCTGTTTTCACCTGCACCACGCTCTCCTGGGGCTCGCTTTGGGAATTCTGGCTCTCGTTGACCAGCATGTTGAACTGTAAGTCACTGTATTGGGAAAAGTCTTGTGGGTACGCAGGGAAATTGGGGTTGAAGTTCATTTCTATGTTGCCGAACGCCGAGTTGGGGTCTAAGAAGCAGGACGAGAGCAGGCTGGGGTCGGACAGTACGCTAGAGATGCCAGGCAACTCCAGCAGCTGGTTCACAATCGCCGCCTCGTCGATGGCCTCGGAGTCCATGAGTTCGTTGTACAACCGGTCGACCACGGGCTGGGTAGTGTGCTGGCTGGCCTCTGGTGACGTGACGGTTTGGGTGTCCAGGAGGAAGCGGAAGGCTTGTTCCGGGGCAGGTGCGCTCTCTGTGAGAGAACACATGGATCGTGTTACCAAGAAAAGGGGTCCATCGGCTCTAGTTTGGATTCAAGCTAATGCTGATACTTTTAAAAATTTGAGTGATGGTTAGAAGAAAGGGGAACAAAGAATTGCTTCCCTTACAGAGGTTAAATGCAGTTTTCTGGTTAAAGTTGTGAAAAGCAAAGCACCTGCCTTATCTTCCTTCTAATGGTTTTAACTCCGCTCTTAAACCCTTACTTAATTCGTAAACTAATCTCATTTGGAGTGACTTGGATTGACAGGGCACAAATACAGTAGGTCACGAAGTAGGTCACGGACCTATTTCGTATGTTAAAATAATTGTATGTTCGTTCAAATATTCCCCAAACGAATACACTGTAATTCATGTAATTCGTTCCACAGCCCAAAAACCTACGAGAACTCCTTAATAAATACTGCAGATAATTACACATGGAAATAAAACAAATGCTTATGTAAGAGAGATGTACAAATAAATTGCCACTTATTGGCCAACGGAGGTGTAGGTGATGCAGGAGGAGACGGTCAGTGTGGAGATTGAGATACAGTACGTATCGTAACTTGCTCTAATTTTCACTATGTGAACATTAAACTAACTTAGCTTATTTATTTTGATTAAATTTTATATATATATATATTCTGTTTTTTTCTGACTTCAACGTCGTATGTTGGAAATTTACTCCAGGTGTCGAGTCAAACATTATAATCGGAGCATTTTCATA